TTTTTTTGAGATGGAGTTCCGCTCTGTCGCCCAGACTGGAGTGCAGTGGCGCGATCTTGGCTCACTGCAACCTCCGCCTCCCTGGTTCAAGTGATTCTCCTGCCTCAGCCTCCTGAGTAGCTGGGATTACAGGCGCCTGCCACCACACCCAGGTATTTTCTGTATTTTTTAGTAGAGATAGGGTTTCGCCATGTTGGCCAGGCTTGTCTCAAACTCTTGGCCTAAGGTCATCTGCCTGCCTCCGGCCTCCCAAAGTGCTGGGATTACAGGCATGAGCCACCACCCCTGGCTGAGAATGAGCATTTCTAAAGTCCCCAGCAGAAGCAGATGCCTCTGGCCCACCTGTCACCCTTTGGGTAGCACAGATTTGAATTGTGTTTCGTCATTAAAATCACTGGTCAGCTATGTGGTGACCTTAGTTTAAAATGTTGGTGAAAAATGGTCTGTGACAAATCCCAGCCCACCCTGTGATGTTTATAAATTGAACGCCATGAGCGTTAGAATTAGGTGGACCTGGATTTCTCTGCTGTCCTGACTCTTACAAGCTGTATGTAACTCACCTCTCCAGGCTTTCAAGTCCCTTGATTTATAATTGGGAATAAAACTATTTACCTCTTAGGGATATGGTGAGAGTTACATGAGGGGGCAAGTAAAAGGCTCAGAGCCCTTATAAGAAATAGACTTGGTATGTCACAGTAGATGTTTGATGTATATATATTTTAGAAACTCAACCCCAGCAAACGTCCCCTGACTGCCCCCCACCCACAGCCTTCTATGTTATCTCCTACACTCATCAATGTGTTGTCTTGGTTTCCATTACTTCACTGCACTTCTAAGATGTGAAACCTAGTCAATTAGTTCATCTCTCCCCTATCCAATGTCTTGCACAGTGCCTAGGACCTAGTTGATGATGAATAAATATTTGTTAATTGTGTGAACTATGTATAGAGGCCATATTAGTAGTCTTCAACTCAGGTTACACATAGAATTGCCTGGAGATGACCTAGGATACACCCCAGAGATTCTAATTCAATGAATCAAGGGCAGTGTTTCTCAACCTTGGCTGCATATTAGGGTCACCAGGGGAAATGTAAAATTGCACATGCTCGGCCCTATCCCTGGCCAGTTACACCGTAACCTCTGGGGCTGACATCCAAGCACCAGTGTTTTTGAAAAGTTGCCCCAGGTGACTCCATTATGTAGCTAGGGTTAGGCACTGCTGGGCTAGATGGGGAAATAATTTAAGTACATCAAGAGTGGACTATTGGGCCAGGTACAGTGGCTCACGCCTGTAATCCCAGCACTTTGGGAGGCCGAGGTGGGCAGATCTCCTGAGGTCAGGAGTTCAAGACTAACCTGACCAATATGGTGAAGCCTTGTCTCTACTAAAAATACAAAAATTAGCTGGGCGTGGTGGCACACACCTGCAATCCCAGCACTTTGGGAGGCCAACGCGGGTGGATCATCTGAGGTCAGGAGTTCGAGACCTGCCTGACCAGTATGGTGAAATCTTGTCTCTACTAAAAATACAAAAATAAGCCATGTATGGTAGTGCGTGCCTGTAGTCCCAGTTACTTGGGAGGCTGAGGCAGGAGAATCGCTTGAACCCAGGAGGCGGAGGTTGCAGTGAGCCTACATCGCGCCACTGCACTCCAGCCTGGGTGACAGAGTGAGACTCTATCTCAAAAAAAAATGAACACATAAATAAATAGCCGTTAAAAAAAAAGACAGAGAGTGGACTATTAATGTGTTCTTAAGTAAAACAAATATGAAATTAAGAACAGAATGAGTCACTTTTTGCGTATGTCTAGTAAAATCCAACTTCCTTCCTTTCCAACTCTGTTGATTAATTCAATTGCTGAGTGTACAGGGTTGTTCTGTTTCAGGTTCACTTCTCTACCTTTTTGGCTAGCTGCTATTGCTGCAGGGTGGCTGTGCTGGATTGACTAGTGCCTGCCAAAAATGTATGTCCATCTGGAATCTGTGAATATGATCTTATTTGGGAATAGGGTGTTTGCAGACACAATGGAGTTAAGACAAGGTCATTCTTGATTAGGATGGGCCCTAATCCAATGGCTGGTGCCCTTATCAGGAGAGGGAAATGTGAACACACATGCAAGGGAAAATTCCATGTGAAGACAGAGTCAGGGATTACAGTGATATGTCTATAAGCCAAGGAATGTCAAGGATTCCTGCAACTTTAAGAAATGGAGAGAGAGGCATTGAACAGATTTTCCCTCAGACCCTCCAGGAGAAACTAACTTTGGTGACATCTTGAGGCATTTCTTGCCGCCATCGCTGTGAGAGAACATATTTCTGTTGCTTTAAGCCACCTAGTCTGTGTAATGCATCATGGCAGCCTGAATAAAACACCATGACTTAATGGGTATTCATGATCTCTATAGCATCTAGGTATCGCGTTCGTTAAGAAGATAAAAATCGTATTTCTGAAATCATTCTTTTATTTTGCACACACATGGCTGCTATTTACTGAACTTCCTCTAACTCCAAGTCCATGTTGCCATGCAATGAAATGTGACAAATTCATGTCTTGCTCAGAAGGCTAAACTGGAAATTCATGAATGCTTACAGATTTAAACTTTCATAGCAGGCTCAGATCAACAAAGCAAAACTTCTACAGATAAAAAGTAGATGTGTAAGCTTGTCACTCTTGGGCCCATCGGCACCTGTTCCCTATCATATTGCTGAACTCTGTGAACTCCAGAAAGGAAGCTTTCTTTTCCAAACTTCAGAGAAGCTGCAGATCAAGAATTTGGCCAGTTGCATCCGGTTAGAAACTCCCTTCTTCCTGTGTGAGAACGTTGGACTGAAAGCGGCATAATACAAAAAGAGATGGTTCTCTGTCAGGGAGAGGTCAGCTCTGAAAGAAAAAAAAAAAAAAAGGAAGGGATGAAAAATTCTTTATTAGTTGTTATGGGCTGAATTGTGGAACTGTGTCCCTCCCCAAACCTAAAAACCATAGACTTAAGTTCTAACCTCCAGTACCCCAGGGAGTGTTTGTACTTAAAGATAGGGGCCATTAAGGAGGTGGTTAAGGTTAAAGGGGGTTGTTAGGGTGGGACTTCATCCAGTATGAATGGTGTCCTAACAAAAAGAGATGAGGACACAGATCCACACAGAGGAATGACAGTGAGAAGGCTGCCATCTATGACTCAAGGAGAGTCCTCAGAAGACACCAATCCTGCTGACTCTTGATCTCGGACTTTCAGTCTCCAGAATTGTGAGAAAATATGCTTCTGCTGTTTAAACCACCCAGTCTGTGGCATTTTGCTATGGCAGCCCTGGCAAGCTAACACAGTAGTCCTACGCGGCTCATCTGCAGGATCAAGATATTGTTTTAAGCTTTAGCACCTGTATGCATCTGTCTGTAAGCTGCACATCTGTCTGTATAAATATGCATAGATGGATGTCTAAATGGGTACTCTTCTAATGGTTAACATTGTTTATCTCTGTGTGGTGAGATTATGGATGAAGTTTTAAAATTCTTTGTATTTTTCTGTTGTGTTTGAATTTTTCAAATGATTTGTGTGTCTTATTTGTGGAAAGACCAAAAAAATCAACTTTTAAAAGAAAAAAACAAAACAAAACAAGCACCTCCCCTCAATAGTAATTTTTTTGTTTTGGCTTAAGGGGACCATTTTCCCCTCTGGGACCGATCTGAAACATTAAACAAACAGGAAATCTCCAGCCCACAGCAGCGGACACCAGAACAACTTTGGCGTGACCCGACATTTCTTGCTGCCTGGGCGCTATTAGAACAAGCCTTATTTGTTTTGTGGTATTAGTTATCAAAGTGCTGCTTATCAGGAAATCTGCTTTTTTCCTATTTTTCTGACATGGATAATATGAAAACCCTCAGAAACTCTCCTTTTAAACTCAAAGTGCGCGAACAAGACTAGAATCCCATGTCAATGAACTCCTTGCTGATGTATAAAACTAATGAAAGCTGCTGCATTTAAGGAGAAAGATCAGTAATAAGCTTTATTTCCACAAGAAAAAGTTTGGTCTTTTAAAAGCAATACTTGGAGTTGATTAAATCTGTTATTATTAATTAGATTTTCTCTTCCGTGATGAACAAAAAACAGTTAAAGGCTTTGAGAGCTGTGAGAAAGACTTTGAAGATTATTTGACTCAAACTTTCCTCGGTGCACACCACCCCCCACCCTAACTCGACCACAGGAGAGGAAACAAGACGGGGTGTGGCGACACCTCCACCGTGACATAGCACCTCGGCCACAAACAGCTGCCGCAAAGGCTTGGTTCAGTAGGAAACATCACCCGGCAGAATTCCAAAGGCCTAAGTTTAACAGTGGGGTGGCCCCATCACAAGGAGATTCTCAACCTTGGCTGCACATTCAAATCACTTGGGGGAGCGTTTTAAAAGTATTCATTCCCGCTCTGCTATGCTGGAGACATAGATGGAACCGTCTGGCGAGGGGCCTGGGCACCAGCATTTTTAGAGCTTCTTGTAGGTGATTCTTGTGCATCCCCAGGGTAAGTGCCACCCCTGATGAACCACCTCATCTACTCTGCTCTGCAACAGACAGCCTCAAACCCACCCCCAAACACATGCTGAGACTCTGATGTGGTCGCAGTAGCTGTGAAAGTGCTAAGTGCCGCTCACGTAGTCTCTGTATGTGAGTAAAGGAAAGGGTGTTACCTGTAGGCGTCTTTCACTTGTCACCCTTGGAAGAAGCTGATGAGAAAGGCACACAGGGCCTGGAAGGGTTTCCAACAGTGTTCCCAGGCCTTCTTCTTTGCTTCCTCATTCCCTCCAGGCCTGGGTCCAGGCTCGGTAGCTTTGGCTGTGGGTAGGGTGGTGGGTTTGGCTTTTCCCAGCTCTTCAATCGAGTCCTTTCCCAGCTGTGTTGCTTCTGTGAGTTTCACTGTGGCCTTGGGCCTCAGAGATGGCGTCCCAGCCTCAGGCTGCTGGTTGGGCACTGGGCTGCCGTTGAGGCTGGAAGTCACCTGCTGCATGTGGGCCTGGGGCCCAGCCTTCCTGCACACGGATGGCCTCAGCACCGGGGCCCCCTGGCATGCATGGTGAAGGCGCCTCAGCTCCTGCAGGGCTTGGTTCCAGTAAGGTTTGGGGTCAGCAACGAAAGCCTGGCACACACTGGGCTGCCCCCTGTACTCACACCAGTATGTCTGCTCTGTGTTGTGGCAGTCGACGCGAAGCCAGACTTCTCCAGCATCTGGCCCCAAGCTGCTGGGGCGCATAGTGCAGGAATCTCTCCCTCCAGTCTGGAAATGGAATTCCTCCCCAGTGCTTCCTTGCTTTTGCCTCGGGGTCTGACCCAAAGTCCCCAGGCAGGACAAGGTCACCAGCAGGAGGCAGGGGATGAACTTCATGGCGATGCTCTAATCAACTTGCCTGCAACCCTGCACCAGGAGACAGAACCCAAGTGGGACGAGTCACCCTTTAAAGGGGGCTGCACAAAAGACTCTTTCTCTGCAAGGGTGGGGAAGGTGTTTCACAGCAAATGAGAAACATGCCCACAGACCTTAGACACTTGGCAAGGGCAGAGCAGCCA